CGGGAAGATTTGCCTTTGCGCATGAGTAAAAAAGCATCATTGATTCTATTAATTGCTTCATGTTTGTTGTTTAGTATGCCCAAAAAGTATAAAACTATGAAACCCCAGATCTTTTCTCCAGGCAAAACAAAATAAAATAAAATAAAATGCATTTCAACATTATTAAAAAATCTTTTATTTTCCTTTTCTCTCTAATGACTATTGTCTCAATTTTCACCGTTTCCACAATTTCTGCACCGATTGGTGCGCAATCAGAGACCAACGCTCCAATCGTGTCTACCATGCCTCTTAAAAAACAATTAATTGGCATTCCAATTTCTTCTCTTGGAGCTCTTGGTTTTGGAAATCTTGGTTTTGGAACTGGTCTTGGTTTTGGCGCCTTTGGCAAGACCTTCAGCGGAATTAATTCCGAGTTCGGAGCAAATGCTATTTCATCAGGTGGTGTTGGTGGGATTCTTAAGAAGCGTGCTGACGATGATGATAAGCAAAAGCATGGTGAAAATAATGTCTTCGGATTATTTAAACGTGGAATTGTTCCCGGCTCTGCCAGTTCTATTCTACCATTTCTAGGAGCAATGGATGGATTTGGAACATATTGATAAATTAATGTTTGTAAATACGTATATTAAAAAAAAAAACAAAATTTAGGTTAAAGAAAAAAAATATATGCAAGAATATGAAAATTAATAATATTAATTAGTCATTACAATAAAATGCTCGAAAGTTCCTTTTTAATAATTATGTGTATTTTTAAATTCATACGTATCATTTCTTATTAAACCATTTTCTCGTGAATAAAACCATATTTGTTCAAAGCTATCTTATATCTAGTAAAATTCTTTGCTCAAATTGTTAAAAAGTTAGGTATCTCGATAACTACCTAATCAATTTTGAACTTTTTTTTGTTTTTGATTATCTCTTAAACTATTTTCAAATATTTTGTAGAACCAAATTATACTAAGACCTCCTAATGCATAATAATCCAAATCGAAAGAAACTGACCAATTATCGTACCGCACTGATTAAAAGACCCGGGTCTAAAACAAATTACCTAACCAAAACCCTATAAAATACTTGGGTATATTGTGAGTATATACCTTTTAGGTACGGTACAGTGTTGGGTATTGGGTAAGGTACGGTACAAAAAAGTGGCTGTACCTAGATAAATTGAGTATATACTTTTTTGGTACGGTACAGTGTTGGGTATTGGGTACGGTACAGTATATTTCTAAAGTACCTATATACATCTAGTAATTTTTGTATACCTAATAGGTACAAACTATAGTATATATTAATTTGAAAACTGTACCTAATACAAATATTTATTATCTAGGTATGGTACAGTTAATATTATATTTCAAAAATATACTAGATTTATAATTTGTATACCTTATAAAAAAATTATTCTTTTAGGTACAGTATGGTACAGTTAGTAGTTAAAATATGTATTAGTATTTTTTTTTTAAAAAAAATATAATTTAGAATTAGTGTTTGTAGTTGATCCAAATTTATTGACTAGACTAAGTCGATATTTAAAAATCAGATTGGCCGGCTAAGCTGTAGTCGATCATCCTAATTGGTTAATTAAAGGCATGTGATTTAAAATAGATATAATTGGTACATACGTACTAGTATTTGCAGTTGATTATTATTTCTTGACTTGACTAAGTTGATATTTAAAACCAAAGTTGATCATCTTTGTTTAATTTTGTCTTATATTTTATGTTCGTTGAATTTTTTTTTAGAATTTTTGAAGAATAATATATACTACCAAATCGGCCTAAATTTGATTAGTTACTGTAGTTTTTAATATAGTCTAACATAAAGTCGACTAAGCTAATTTTTTGAAAAATCAGTTGACTAAGCCTAGCTAAGCTGATAAAATCGACTAATACAAATCAACTACAAACACTATTTAGAATATATTATATTTAAAATAAAAAATTGCTATTTCTACTTTTATTTTTGCTATTGCCACCTTCTAAAATTTAAAAAGTAATTCAGAAAAGATATTTTTATTAAAAAAAATCTCTATTTGGTCTTAATAAAAGTTGTTTATTAAAGGGTGTGGTGACTTAGTGAAGTGGTGAAGTTGTCACATCCTCAAGCAGCATATCCAGAGTTCAAATCTCAATATTGATAAAATTTGAATTTTCTGTTGTAGAACAATTACTGTAATGATAAGTTGGATTGCTAATCTGTAACCAAGGTTGTATCAAATATTCTATATCTGGAAGGACTATCAACCAGTAATCCGTGTAAAGCCAAGAAATTGAAGTTACAGATACTCACTTGGCAAGACCCGAGTAGAGAAGTAGTACAAACTTTTGATAGTACTATATAAAAGATTATTACCAGAAAAAACCAGAAATTGAATAGGACCTAGATGTATAGCAAAAGCATTCTACCAACCAGACCACCAGGGTTAGAGAAAAGGATCTGCTTAATTGTAGTTACCAGGAGCTGATAACTTTCGGGTAAAAGTCCTTTCCGGGCTATTGGAATTGGTAGTTTGGAATAGCTGGGTCAAACTAGAAAAACTGAATAGACGAAGTGTTTGAGAAGTCACTTCCACTAACCAGACTGCCAGAACTAGAGGAAAAAAATTCTGCTTAATTTGCAGTTATCAGAAGACTGGTAACTTTTGGGTAAAAGTCTCTCTCAGGCTATTTGGATTGGTAGTTTAGATTCAAGAAGTACTCTTAATAGTCTATAATATAGTACTAGGGTCTGAGTAAACTCTACAAGGTCATAAGTAGGTAATGGTAGTAGCTTCAGCTTGCAGGTACTTGTCTTTGAACTTGGCATAAATTACTGAAGCCTAGATTAGCTAGATTGTGGATATAGAAAACTCTAGCAAGTTTATCTCAAAGGTAAATTAACCCTAGTCGGGAAGCTTCCTATGGCAGGTATTGGTTTCTCATAAAGATGTGATAGCATAGAGAGTTTAAATAAGTAATCTCCTAGTTAGATTATAGATATGGCATCTAGTATAGAACCTTTAGGCAGACTACTTAAATAGGCAATTAAAAATTGTACATATAGCTAGTTGTATTTTCCAAAACCATGTACTAAAAAATGAGTAGTAGCTGACTTGATCAGCTTAGTACATAAACTAATAAAGACAACCAACTATGAGATCACTTTGATATTAAAAAAAAGTTGTTCGTTAAATTTTTCTGATCTTAATAGTAGTAAAATTATTAAAATCAGCCTAATAGTTTATTTTTTAAAAGTAAATAAAAGTTAACTAATGTCATATATAAATATCTTAAAAGCTACTAGTCCAAGTATAATGATTTTACTACTATTAGAATTAAAAAAGCCTGATAAACTATTTTTATTAAGATTAAAAGAAGGATTTACTTAATAAAAATATTTATTTTGAAGCACTTTTTGATATCTGGAAGGTAGTATTAGCAAAAATAGAGATGAAAATAGCAATTCTCTTAAAGAATTATTTAATAGTATTTTTAGATTTAGTTGGGTTGAATTTAGTCTGAGTTTAGTTCAAAAATGAACTAGACTTAAACTCTAAATTTTACTAGTTTTAAACTTTAAATCAGATGCAAATTTAATTATGAGTTCAGTCTGGGTTTTGTCTAAAAATTTGCAAACTAGTTTGAGCTTAAATATGAAGTTAGAATTAATTAGTAAATTTTGAAAATTATAAAATTTTATAGAATTTTATTAATAAAATTTTACAAAATCTTATGATTCTTAAAATTTTACTAATTAATTCTAATTTTATATATTAAATAAATTTATTTAATATTTAAAAATATATTAAACTAATAATGTTATTTTTATTTTACTTGAAATTTAAAAAATATTTAATTTTGAATTTTTTAATCAAAATTTAAAATTAAACATCTTCTTTCCAATTTAAGTAAATAAAAATAATTTACTAGTTTAATATATTTTTAGATATTGAATAAATTTATTTAGTAAAGGGTGTGGCGACTTAGTGAAGTGGTCAAGTTGTCACCCCCAAGTGGCAGATCTAGTGTTCAATTCCTACCGGCGACGATTATTGAATATCAAAAACTTGTATATCTCTGATATGTCAACTTAATTGGGTATGC